CCGAACTTATAGTATAGTTATTTATTCACATTTCTCCTGAATTCGATTGTAACCTCTGTAAAAGCAAAGGCTGTGTCTTATCCTTCTAACTTTCATGGAGTTCAGTAGGTGCTCAGTAAAATGCCTATAGAACAGGATAAACTAGGGATGGAGGAGGGTTGGTAGTTAGAACAAAAACTGATTTTATTTAGGCCAAAAATTTTACCTAGGACCACAACTCAAAAATAAAAAGACAAACGAGTCAATTTAAAAAAATGAGTAAGATATCTGAACAGACACTTGACAAAAGAAAATATACAAGTGGCTAATAAGTACATGAAAAGATGCTCAACATGGTAAATAATCAGGGAAACACAAAGTAAAGCTACTTTACACTTATTAGAATGGCTAGAATAAAAAGGTTGACAATACAGTGGGTTGGCCAGTATGAAGCTGTCATACTTCGCTAGTGTGAATAGAAAATGGGACAACTATTGTGGAAAACAGCTTGTCAGTATTTCCTATAAAGTTAAATAGACATTTATCCTGTGATCTGACAATTTTACCCCTAGATTTTTACACTAGAAAAATAATGATATGGAGTTGTCTATGGAAAACTTAGTAGCATGAGGGAAGTCTCTAGGTGATGAAAATTTTCTAAGTCTTGACTGGGGTAGGGTGACATAGTTTTGCTAAAACTCATCAAACTGTACACTTGAAAACTGTGCATATTATTGTATATAAATTATACCTCTACAACAAAAAATAATTTTGCTGATCAACCTACAAAATTATGCATTGAAAATACCTGTGGACTTTAGGCATGCCCAAAATACCCTGCCACAATTTTTCAGCTGTCTAATAGTAGGAACTTATGATCATTAAGAGTCAAAAAGAAAACCAAAAGGCTTATTTTTCTGTAAACCAAAATAGTAGTCCATGACCCTTAGATTTTCAAATTTGATCAACTAATAGCAACAAAAGTTAAATTTGAAGTTTATTTTTATTAATACATGTATGTAAACTCAAGGGTATTATCACAGAGATTTCTTCTACTTAGGAGATACTGAAAATAGTAAGGGGAACAATTATAATATAGAAATTTCAACAGTAAGTTAAATGCTTATTACTGTGGGTTACATAATTAGGCCTTAGAGAACTCTGGTTATTATGGAAGGCATTGCATTTCAGTGTGTTCTTTCCTTTGGGATTATAAACATCAAGAGCTTCTCTTTCAAAATAAGATTAACAGAAAACAAGATAATAAAAAATTGAAAGTATAAAAATAGAAAATGAGGTTGCATATCTTGATTTAAAAAATCAATAAGTAAAAAATGTTATTAAATGAAATTTAAAAAGGCTTTTATAAAAAAAGATTAGAGAATAGCTCTCACTTAAGATGTTGCTTTTATTTTAAATTAGGTTTTTTGAGAGGTGATATCTTTTTTGAAAAGTGGTAAAGTAAGTTGGCAAGTTTGACTGTTTATTTTGTCAACTGTTAGAGATGACTGTATTCTTTCATAAATACCTTTATGAAGCAGAAATACATATGCCATCCAATTCTCTTTTCTTTAGGTCGAGTTTAAGATTTTCCACCTTTGGCTTTGACTTGAAATCACAATCAAATTTGATATTTGATATTTGATATTTAGTTACATTTTATCAAATATTTATTGAGTACTTGCTGTCTTCTCATTTGAAGTGGGGGGATTACAAAAAATATAAGACATAGTCCATTTCCTTTAGGATCTTAAAAACTAGTTATGGGGAAAAGATATGTGGGACATTAAGTAATGAAATTTTTGACAAAAGTTCAAGGCGAGAATTAAAGTAATAGCATAGGCAACACTTTTAAGATAACAACTGTGGTTGAAATTTGGACGAGACTGGACTCTTCTTCGTTTATTTCTTGCTTTCCTTCTACTGGCCTCTCAAATGCTGCCATCTCCATTGTCCTCTCTTCCTAACACTTTGTGCTTTCTTTTTAAATTTAATTTTAATTTTTATTAAAATAATGTATGGACCTATTTTTTAAAAAGCAAATAACACTGGAAGCTTGATAAAACACACAGCAGGTCCCTGAGCAGCCCCTCTCTGCAGTCTGTTTTCTGACTATCCAGAAGCAACCACTCTCAACTTCTGGTATTCTTTTCATAATTTAAATATTTCTTGATTTATTTGTTTTCGATTCACCCGCTGACTCCCTACTATGGATGATAAAGACTTAGCTCTTGTCCATCACCCTTCACACCTCTCCACTCTCCTGAAATAGTTTTAGGACATATTTGGTTGAACCCATATTCAGTATTTTGGTTATTACAATTCTGCATATTGTAATTATTTTCCTTGCTTGTGTGACTTTTTTTGTTTGTTTTGTCATAAGATGTCTGTCTCTCTCTCTTTTTGAATTAATGTATCTTGGTTTGAGTGGGCTTCTTGCTAAGTCTTGCCGATGCTCTGAAGTTCTATAAAACGCCTCTCAAACCAGTTTTTCATATAGTCAATCTTGTCAGATAATCTATTGATCCCTTTTTATTTCTACAACTTTCCCTCAGAGCCCTCTGTCCTTTAGCTTTGATGTAGGTGTCTTTTTCTCAAGATTTCCAGGACCTCTCTTTTTGGTCATCCTGGGAATTTCATTTGTTTCTTTCCTGTGTTGATTGCTGCTTCTGAATTCTTCATTGTTCCCTTTCTTAGTAGAATTGGAAGGGACCGAGGCGTGAGGTGTGGGGAAGGCAGGGGAGATTTGGAGGCTCTTGTCATCTAGACTAGTGCTACTTAAAGTGTGGTGCCCATTGGCTAACTGTTTCTTACGAGTCCTTGATAACGTAAGAAGCTCGTACTGGAATGTAAGCCAACTACTTCACTAAACTCACTGCTCAGTTTAAGCAACTTTGCTCTCATGGGAAGACTTTCTCCATGAAGGAAGCTGTGCTTTGATGTACATTCCAGGCAAGCCATTCACCTTATAGTGGACCCATACTTTGAGCTATTCTGGTCTACACCATTGGTCTTCAAATTCTTTCAATAGCATGTAAATATAAGTAAAAAAATATTTGAGTATGTACCTTTAATATGTGTATATTTATGAGCTCTATAAACATATCACTGTAATACCATGTTATGTACATTATGAAAGGCACTAAATGTACATTTAAAAAGATAAGATGAAAATAAGTAATATTTTAAAAACTATTTCACTAAAGTGAAAGCAATTATCTAAAGTGAAAATTATTAAATATACTTCACTATTTTTGAAAATCATTGTATAACCCTTTCTGATATAGCTATTCAGAGGTCAGCTTCTTATTCAATTTATTTCAGTTTTGGTTTACATGGCTGTCTCAATGAACAAAGTTACCTCAAAAAGATAGATGATTACAAATAGACTAGGGCAGGCTTGACTGTACTTATTAAATTAGGATTCTCATCTTTCAATCTGCTTCAGTAATTAAATACATGTTTTTATTGAAATTCATATTCTTGAATGTCAATCAGTTATTTTGCAAACTAATCTGAGGTGTTTTATTTTCTTATTTTATACACATGGATATAAAACCCATTTCAGCTCTTAATGGGAAAGATTTAAAAACAAGTTAAAATTTAATTTCTGATCTTAACAAAATAGGATTTTTATAAGCGACAGTCACAATTTTCAGCAAGAACATCACATTACATGGGAAAATGTTTCTAAATACCTGTTTCTAAAGGCTCTTTCCAAATCACAAGTTTCTTTAGAAAAGCAACAACTTTCCTCATGCATTGGGGAAATATCATCTTTATCTTGAAAAAATAGTTAAAGATGTCTTTAAAAAATGTATTTCAGGTTAAAAAAGTCACAGAAAAGCTCGACAGATTTTTTTCGCTTGTCTTTTTGTAAAAAGAAAAATGCATAATACTTTTAAGTACTTTGCCATTAGTTAACAATGAACCCCCATGTGGCACAGTAGATTTTTAGCATCACTTTTATATGTAGCCTATGTATTAAGAGAATAAGGCCATAAATCTATGTAGGTGGGCGCATTCAATCTAAAAGTGAAGTAAAATTATTAAAAGTGAAGTAAAATTATTAAAAGTGAAAGAGCGAGGATAAGTCCTTGAGACTGTGGATCACCCACTGTTTCCTTGGGATGCATCCATTCATTCCCTACCTGACTCTTGAGGGATAGAGGTCATCGATATATAAAATATTAGTAAAACAATTTGTTCTCATTTTTAAAAACATAAATGTATATTTATGTTTTAAAATTTTAAAAAATATTTAAATAATATTTTATTTCTTAAAATAAGAAATTATTAGAATATTTCTTTTTGTCTCTGCTGGATTGTCCTGTGCTGTGTTCCATTTTGGCAAAGACTTGACTAAATGCTCAATGATGAGATTCTAAACTAAGGCAAAACCAAGGGGAGGGAGGAGACAGCATTAATAAAGAGGCCGAGGGAGACACACTTGACAAAACTTGATTACCAATTGAATGTGGAAATGTAAATCAGAGGAAATGCAAAAATAGGTACTTTTGCCCATGCTGTTTTTAAAAGTGTTTACATTCCGTCTTCCCTAATGATGATGAGTTCTTCCGAAACAGTCATTTAAACTCTTCCTTCTTTGTGCCAGGCATTGTGCAATGCAAATTCACATATATTTCCTGTGCAAACTAGGGTGCCTTCCACCTATTTGTAGACCTCATGTCTTAGAATTTTATAAACAGCAGCTGTTCAAAATATCTGGTTTTTTTTTTCCCCATGAGAGTGACTCCACAAATGTCCACACCAAGGTGGCTGCCTGATCAGGCATCAGGATGGCACAGTGGAATGTGGAGACTTCTGAATATCAAACAGCAAGGACTTTATTCCAAATAGTAATCTATACTGCCGGGCAGAAAAGTACTAGCAGAAGTCTCTTTTCAAGACAATTACATTCCCTACCCACGGACATCGGCTGTTCCTCTTAATGCCCCCCTCCCTTCCAGGAAAAGAAAAGAAGAAAAAGACTGAAATGTTCTTTCATATGTTTTACTCACAGCAAGGTCGGTCCACTGTATACTCCTCCAAATGCATCTTTGTCAATAACTGTCAGGTATTTATTCTTGTTCAGGTAACTTGAGAAAGAGAGAGAGAGAGAGAGAATAAATTAGGTGAGGTTAAGCAAATTAATGCAAATACCAAAATTATACATGAGCGTGGTCCCCCACAGCTATTAACTGGTTTTTAAGAATTTGGAAATTAAAGAATTACCTTCTTTTGGCTTAAGTACTCAAAACATTCTAGGTTTCAATTGTGCAAAGTTTATATATATTAATTATGGTAGAAGTCTTTGAAAGTGAGCTTGTTTATGATCTAGTTTGCATATCTAATTTTACAAAAGTTGCCTAATTACCTATTTACCTGGCCAGTGGCAATTGTATTTTCCAATCCTCTTCAATACCAACTAATTTAATTTTTTCTCAGTATTGATCATATTCCCATTTTCTTTCGAAGACTGGGCTACAACCAGGAACAGAATGAAGGTGGTGAAGGTGGTGGGTCAGGTGATGCAGACTCTCAGAGATTCAAATCTCTTCTTTAGGACAGGGTTACCAGATTTAGCAAATAACAATACACCTCAGACCAACAATGAATAATTTTTTAGTATAAGTATTTCCCACGTAATTTTTGAAACAGTTATTATACTAGAAATTCTTTGTTATTTATCTGAAATTTGAACTGAATTGGGTGGCCTGTATTTTCTCTGACAATCTCGTTTGGTAGGGGCAGGTTATGCAGATAAGATGGCAGAGTATATCCTTTATGGAGGAAGTATATTGATCTTTCCATTTTGAAAACACATTGGGCATTTGAGGGTAAAGTATCTTTGAAGCAATTTAAGTCACAAAGTGATTCTATTTTCTTAATACAAAGTGATTCTGAAATAAAAGTACTTCCAAATGGATAAAAGCTTCCAAAGATTTTGAAACTGGTTCCTCACCTCCCTAGCTTTTTTAGAGAACAAATTTGTCCTAAAAGAAACAAAGTGCATATATATCCTCATTATAAGTGATCTCAATTTACACGTGTTTAGAATAACCACATAACCTAGTCAGTTCTAGAATTAGTGAGTGGTAACCTGTTGATGCAAAATAAATACAGCAGAGACCCCTTAGGAGGTCTGCTTAGATATGAATAATGTTCGCATCATTCTGTTTATGGTGTTTGCTTTTCATGATGGAAAATTCTCAAGGATGATGGTTAATGATAATAGTGTAACATGAGGACTTTCGGTCGGAAGGATTCCTGTCCCAGAGCCCTCACGGAGAAACTTCTTAGTTAAGAGGCTGTTCTTCTCTTTCTCTGACTCAGCTGAGGAGAGGGAGGGCGCCTTCATTGGTGGCTGACTTGAGGGGAGGCGGCCCCTGATGCTGTTCAGAAGGCAAAGGCAGGAGCAGTGCTTCCCGAGGTTCCGGCCCTCAGCCTCGCCTGCTCCAGCAGCTCCAGTCTTCTGTCAAGAATGCAACTTACTTAGAATAAGAGATGGCAGCCTCAGAGCTGGAGGTGGGTCTTTACGGGAGCAGTTGGAGGAAGAAGAGTTTACCAACCACCAATGAAGTCTTCCTCTCCTGGGCGGGATGAGAGATTAACCAAATGACAAGTACGTACTTCAACTCCACACGATGACAGCTTATAAATTGATATAGATTTTGTGATTCTTTGCATTTTTTTCTCAAAATAAGGTTAAGAACCTCCTAAAGTAGCCACTACCAGTTTTCCTAACTGCACTCTTTACTTCCTTCACAGCATTATCACAACATGCAATTATCTTTCTTTTTAAATTTGTTTACTTGTTCCTCTTCTGTCTACTCAGTCAGAATATAAGCTCTCTGTCCTATTTGTTGCTGTACCACTAGTGCCAAGTTCAATGCCCCTCTAACTATTTGTTGAATGAATGTGTAAAAGAGTAAATAAAAAAATCGATGCACCTGTCTTCCAAAATAATAAGGTAGGCGATGCTAAACTCTTAGGGGGACACACATGATTGTTTTATGGGAAAAAATAATGGAAACTGAAAGACTAGAAGACTCAGTATATGGTGTGGTAGCCGACTGACTTTTTGATGGCTGCGACAGGACAGCTGGCTTACAATGCTACAAGGGCATGGTCCAGACATAGCCTCTTTGGCGGGGTTGGACACCAAGCCTCCAGGGCATTGTTAAGTCTGAAATGGAGGGGTCAGTTAATCTCATATATGTACAAAGCCCGGCTAAGGTGATAGAGCAGCTAAACTGTGTGCCTTCTGGATGAATAACTATCACCTAAGGCTCTGAATCATTTGATCTTTGTTTGATTCTCCTTCAACCCACTGTGTCCATGTCAGTGATAGCTAGAGCAGGCAAGAGCCACCTTGGAGAAAACAACAACCAGAGAGAAGCTCTTGAACATGATTTTGTAGAAAGACGGCTAAATTCAGTGTGATTACGGCGCTGGCTCATGTCTCCTTTTGTATTCTTTGGGCCATGCCGCTTGCTGATCGATCACATTCTGTTCCCAGACTGCTGAAAATCAAGTAACGACTGGTGACCTCATCTCAGTTTGTCCTCACCATCTCCAGCTGCTGCGAGTGAAAATCGGCTTGCTCTAATCATTAGAAACTGTAGAACTAAATAATTGCTTGTCCAATTCTGCAGTGTTTTCATCTGTTATTCAATATGTCCCCAAGGATAAGGAGTCTGGTTGATAAGCACTGCAGTTTACCAGAAACACTGTAGAAGATTTCATACTGGGAAAGCCAGCCAGAGTCCAGGAGGGGAGAAAAAGGATGGAGGGAGGGCGCAGTCAACTTGAACGGAGATGAACTAGGTCTTGAGGGAGGCTGTGTTCTCTAAAACCAACATGGTTATTTGGACACTTTACCTCTTAGAGATAATTAGATGCTTAAAAATGAAACTATCACTGCCATAGTAGTATGGAGGGCTGCCTTATTTAGCTTTTAACCTTGAGTTCAGATTGCTGATACTACCTTCCATCTAAGGGGGTAGGAAGGGAAAACACATCCACAGAAGCTTTAATAGCCAGAAGGAAAGTGCTTCCATCAGCTCCATTTATCACATGATGTTTACTGGGAATGTTGTTAAACTGATTTCCTTGACCATGACTTAGCTTTATTCCTCTGGAATCCACATTCTGTAAACCAGCTTGAGTAAGTCGATCACAAATCTTGGTAGGCTATATGGGTAACTACTTCAAGCAATAATTATTTTATAAGGGTGTAATCGTTTATACTATCTGCTGCAAGGACAAGATGAACATAAATGAACTTAAAATGGAATAGAAAGTCTTGGAGTCAGAGGTGAAAGGAAAGACTTCTTGAAATTTAGGATTTCTAAATGCAAATACTGGGAAGCGCTTATGAGAAAGTAAGTGATGTTTCCTTTAAAAATAATAATATAGACACTGCTACGTGTGTGTTTTCAATGCCTTTTCATTGTTTGGAGGACTTATCCTTCTTTGAGAATTTCCTGGAAGAGATGAAGTTCTTCCTAGAAAAGATATGTCAGATTTTTCATATGGTGGGGGATTGTTAAGAAACCCTGCCTTGATTTAAGTGATTGTATCTCACAGTTAAGGAAGAACATCATGGTCAGGAAAATGAAGATGGTCAGGAATGAGCTGGAGAAAAATAGCCAATCAAAGAATTCAGTAATATAATTCCAATATTATTCAGTATTATTAGTTCCAATATGGCTCACATCCTGCCCCAATTGGACTCACTCTTGGCACATAGCAGCCATTCAGTAAAAACACGCTGGGAGAATAAATGGAAGTCCAGTTGCTTGGTAACTCCTAGCTAGACTACATAACCCTCTATATTATGTTTAGATGAGGAAGTGACTTATATCAGAGGGAGGAGTATGACACTGTGGCAAGGAAAGCTGTGGTCACTGCTGAGCTTTGTTTTCTGGGGAGTTTTAGAACACATTTCAGCTCCAAGATGGAATTTCGGCCTGTATATCCATAATCCCTTTAGAGGACGGTTGGGCTGGGACCTGTTTAAGTTAAGACTCTTCTGGGAACACTTTGGTGGAGAGCAGTGTTTCTCTCCCACGCATTCGTTATTTGGAAAATTAAAGGGAACCCTGCTCAGTCTTCATTGCTCTATGGAAATCCTTTTGGTAGCAGAAATCAGGACACCTGTCTGTAAACAGTCGCAAGTGAGAAAATGCTCAAGCTTTCAATAGGCAGAGGGAAAAGCCAGCCTGGGAGCATATCCTACAAGCTGTTCAAATACTTACCAATGAGAAATAATAGCCTGCTTAATCCCGTAATTTTCTCTATCATTGTCTTTTTTCCCAGTGCTCAAAGCTGCAGTGTTTTGCTTCTAATCAGCGAATATGTGATGCTAATTAGCATTTGAGTTGTGTTGATTTCTCTGTTTATAACGATTAGTGTTTTGGTACATTTTTAGCACATCGAAATGATATTTTTTTCCTTACTCAAGTGTTTACTATCAGATAGTAGCTAGTTACTAGAGTTTGACAATAGAAAATACGATACAGAGAATTAGACATTTTGAGATAAGGAGCAAGGAGCGTATTCCCACACCAGACTGCGTGGAGAGGATGGAAAAGACGTTCCAAAGAATGAATGTGTGACTTGTGACTGAGAGCAGTTCAACTTCTGTTGAACAAAGGATGCTTGTGTTTTTATTAATTTTACCTCTGAGTGATGACAGTGCGCTTGGTTCCATGTGAAATCACAAGACCATGTGCTTTTACACATCTGTCATAATTTTAGTGAACTTTTAACTAATTACCCAACTGTTGTGGAGGCATCAATACTTGTTCTCAATATGGAATTTGTCCAACTTGGCTGCAATTGTATTCTTCAGTTACACTAACAAAAATGGGTCTAAATGAGGTCAAATCTGCTAATTTCAGTAAATTGGCATGAAGTGGATGATGGGGAATAATTCTTCTTTTGGATGACATATTGTTTAAATTCAAACTTAAAGATATTTGAACACGCTTGTTGAAAATTTACCAAATTGCTAACATGCTTACATGCAATCTTTTAACACTATTAGAATAATTATAGGATTTGGATGTGCTTACATTAGTTTAAAATCACA